CTTCACAAGAGAAGGCTGAGGGGGGACCTGGTGACCGTCTATAAACTCACTGGGGGGGCCAGAAGGGTTTGGGACAGACCTTGTTTCCCCTTGCACCCCCTGGCATAACAAGGAATAACGGCCACAAGTTGTTGGAGGGTAGATTTAGATTAGACATCCATAAGAACTACTTCACAGTCAGGGTGGCTAGGATCTGGAACCAACTTCCAAGGGAAGTGGTGCTGGCTCCTACCCTGGGGGTCTTTAAGAGAAGGCCTACCTGGCTAGAGTTATTTGAGATCAGTTTTTCTCCTGCCCAGGCAGGGGGTCAGACTTGAAGATCTACATGGTCCCTTCCAACCCTACTTCTATGATTCTATGATATGCCCACCATTGGTGTGGATCTTGTAAGGCAGCATCTTGAGAGGGTGGACCCCCACAAATCAGCTGGTCTGGATAGCTTGCACCCAAGAATGCCAAAAAAACTGGCAGACATCTTAGCGCAGCCACTGGCAAGTATATTCGAGAACTCGTGGTGCTCAGGTGAAGTATCTGAAGACTGGAAGAGGGCCAATGTGGTGCCTATCTTCAAGAAGGGTAGGAAAGAAGACCTGAGAAACTGCAGACCAATCAATCTGACCTCAATCCCTGGAAAGGTCTTGGAAAAAAATGTCAAAGAAACCATTCTTTATAGGCTAGCAGAAGCCAAAATTCTGAAGGGATAGCCAACATGGTTTTGTTGCAGGTAGGTCTTGTCTGACTGATCTCATTTCCTTCTATGACCAGGTGACATATCACCTGGACAAAAGGGAAGAGGTTGATATCATATATTTGGATTTTAAGAAAGCCTTTGACTTGGTGTCCTACAATGCCCTCATGGAAAAATTGGGCAACTGCGGCCTCAACTACACCACAGTCTGAGGGCTGGGGAACTGGCTCTGAGGCTGGACCCAGAGGGTGGTAGTTGACAGAACTTAATCAACACGGCACTTAGTGACCAGTGGTGTCCCCCAAGGCTCTGTTCTCGGACCTGTACTCTTTAATGTCTTTATAAATTATCTGGATGCTGGCATCAGAAGTGGACTGGCCAAGTTCACTGATGATACCAAACTTTGGGGAAGAGTATCCACACTTGAGGATAAGTTGGTGATCTGGGCCAACCTTGATAGGCTTGCAAGCTGGGCAGATGAAAACCTGATGTCATTCTGTACAGAGGAATGCAAGGTGTTCCACCTCAGGGAAAAAAATGCATCACACTTATAGGCTTAGCAATGTTACACTTGCTAGCACCACAGACGAGCAAGAGACTTGGGGGTCATGACTGACCGAAGATGAACATGAGCCACCCATGTGATACTGCAGCTGGCAAAGCGAACCAAACTCTGGCTTGCATCTACTGATGCATCACAAGCAAGACCCAGGATGTCAGCCTCCCGTTGTACTTGGCCTTGGTAAGGCTTCATCCAGTTCTGGGCTCCACAATTAAAAAAGGACATGGAGAAGCTTGACAGAGACCAGAGGAGAGCCACGCGCATGATCAGAGGGAAAGAGAACAGGCCTTACGTGGAGAGGCTGTGAGCCATGGGACTCTTCAGCCTGCAGAAGCACAGGCTCAGAGGTGACTTGGTGGCAGCCTATAAGTACATAAGGGGTGTGCATCAGGATCTGAGGCCCTGGGGGAACACCTGTTCACCAGAGCACCCCAAGGGATGACAAGGTCCAACCGTCACAAACTCCTGCAAGACCATTTTAGGCTGGACATAAGGAAAAACTTCTTGACCATCTGAGTCCACAAGGCCTGGAACAGACTCCTCCCAGAGGTGGTGAAAGCACCTACTCTGAATACCTTCAAGAAACATTTGGACACTTATGTTGCTGGGATCCTTTGACCCTAGCTGACTTCCTGCCCTTGGGGTGGCAGGCTGAACTCGATGATCTTCTGAGGTCCCTTCTAGCCCTAATGTTTATTAAACCTATGAAATATTCCTCCTCATTGATTTACTCATTAATAACTACATTTTGAGATCCGCCAGTGATCCAATTTTAATGTAATATGTATCATATTAATGCCACATAATACAAACTTTTAAATTGGAATTCCATGTCATTCTGAGTCAAATATGGAAGTCCTGTCAAAAATAAGATAAGTCTGGCTATGAAATACAACTTTGGATGAACTCTACCTTGATTTCCCCAAGTTTTTTGATAACACCTAACTCCCAAGAAACCATGCTGACAAGCATTACATGCATTTTAGCCTCTAACCTTGCTGTTAGAGTCCAAGTGACCCATCCTGCTCTTTTATCTAGTACTGACCTACTGGTATTTCTAGCCCTCAAATACTTAAAGGGCTGCCATAAAGAAGATGGAGAACATCTCTTCTCTTTTGCTGCAGAGAATGGGACATGGACCAATAACTTGAAGTTGCAGCCAAGTAGGTTTAGATCAGAAATCAGGAAATACATCTTCACTGTTAGAACAGTTAGGCAGTGGAACTGAGTGCCCAGGGAAGTTGTTGACTCTCCATCACTGAAGGTGTTCCAGAAGAGGTTGGACAGCCACTAGTTGGGGATGATTTAGGTGTAGCTGTGCCTGTATTCAACTATGGGTATTTCCCATTCTTCTGGGATCTGCTGATTGCTGCACGGGGCAGGGACAGAATTCCACCCCCCCGCTATATGTGTCAGGTTTTTTTTCAAGCCCCCCTCACATACATTGGGTGCTAGCTGCAGCCAAGGCTGGGGATTTTGATTGGTGTGTGCCAGTGCTCCTGCAGGGACTTAAACTGGAGGTTCCTGCCTAGAAGGTCTCGCTTCTCTACTCAGGGTCAGACTGATCACCTGATTTGGGACCAGGAAGGAATTTTACACCATGGTCAGATTGGCATGGACTACAGGGGTGGTGGTGGTGGGGTTGTCTTCCTTTGTAGTGGGGGCATGGCCCTCTACCCGGGATCCCTTGAACATATACAGGCATACCTCATTTTATTGTGCTTCGCTTTATTGCGCTTCGCAGATATTGCGTTTTTTACAAATTGAAGGTGCTGTGAACATTGTTGAAATGACAACAAAGGATTTAGAATATTACATAAACTTAGTTGATGAAGCAGCGGCAGGGTTTGAGAGGACTGACTCCAATTTTGAAAGAAGTTCTACTGTGGGTAAAATGCTATCAAACAGCATCACATGCTACAGAGAAATCTTTCGTGAAAGGAAGAGTCAATCGATGCGGCAAACTTCATTGTTGTCTTATTTTAAGAAATTGCCACAGCCACCCCAACCTTCAGCAACCACCACCCTGATCAGTCAGCAGCCATCAACATCGAGGCAAGACCCTCCACCAGCAAAAAGATTACGACTCGCTGAAGGCTCAGATGATGGTTAGCATTTTTTAGCAATAAAGTATTTTTAATTAAGGTATGTACATTGTTTTTTTAGACATAATGCTATTGCACACTTAATAGACTACAGTATAGTGTAAATATAACTTTTATATGCACTGGGAAACCAAAAAATTCGTGTGACTTGCTTTATTGCAATATTCGCTTTATTGCGGTGGTCTGGAACCAAACCCGCAATATCTCCAAGGTATGCCTTTATTAACAACCATTTCCAAAAGCAGAACTTTAGCAGCTGTGGTTCCCCTCCTTTCCCTGTGGCAGGTTAGGGTTTTATGTCTTGTGTTATGTCAGGTTTGTTTTACTAAGAGGTTAGATTGTGGGTTTGCACAAGATAATTAGATATGGACGCTCCTGCCTCAGGCAGGGGGTTGGAGCAGGTGACCTGTGGAAGTCCATTCCAGCCCTACCTCTCTTCAATTCTATGATTCAATGACATCAGGCTAATTGGTCAGAGTTCTTTAGGTCATACTATTACTGATTTTAGATTTTGGAAATACAGTGTCTGTTCTCCATTCCTTTAAAATGTTCCCAGTTTTTCAAAACTTCTTAAAACTTAAAAATAATGGAGAGAACGTCTCAGCTGGATTCTGAGATTCCTGAGTGTAGGTTCCATGTGGGTCTTATGATTTGAAAATGTTTGATTTTAGCAGATTCTGTCTAACATCCTACTTAGTTGTAGATGGCAGTGTTTCTGTTCTGCACACCACGCCATGTAGCACAGAGACACCTTCCTCCTTCATTCCAGACATAGAACAAGAAAAAAAGTGATGTGTGTTTTCTGTATAACCCTTTACACTTTACCATCTGCATCCAGCAATGGACTTATATGTGGCCTAGATCTTATCTATTTCCTGATATAACTTCTCTAAAACCCTACTGGCCATTGATATTTAACAGACTCCTTTGGCTTCCCTCACCAGTCACCTATGCATTTTAACTGTATCATATGTTCTTTGCCATTTACATCTTCTCTCATATCTTTTCTGCCAAATGTTCAGGTAGTGACACATCGGTAATAAAACATGCAGAGAGAGCATCTATTCTCACTTACTCCTCTCCTGGCAAGGTCCCCACACATTCATCACCCTTTTTAGAAACACACAAGCCAACACGCTGCCGTCTCCTGCTAGGAAAGCACCACTCAGAGGCAAAAGTCGTAACTTGCCATGGGCAGGGGCAGCAGAAGGAGCTGGTCTTGGGATTCTGCTTTTTATTGCACCCATGTCACAAAGCCAGCTTGTTCCAGATACCCAGGAATTCCTCTGGACAGGAGAAATTGCTAGGTGGGATAATGGCTCCGTGTGGTCTCCTTGCAGTTCCCTGCACAGAAGGGTACAGTAGACTTGTGGTAACCAATGAACTTTTATCTTGTGGGTGTTACCAGCTGCCCTTCAGGAGACCATGACAAGATACGTACAAATGAAAGCAGGAGTTGTATCTTCTGAAGAAGATCGGCTTGGGAGAGGTAAGGAACTGATATTCTTGGACACTACTAGGAGGGAACAGTCTCTCATACTGTTGGTCTGAACCCTCCACTGGCAGCAGGAGACCTAGCCTCACCCTCTGAAAAGGCTTGGGCTGCACTAATGGAGATACAGAAAATGGTGATGGAAATGCTCACCATCAACAGCAATAGGCATCAGAGCTTTCTGCACCTCTTCATTGGTTAGATGGACTCCCATGCTGGTCAGGACAGAGTCCAGGTCACTGACATCAACTCGGTCATCTAAAAAGAAAGAGAAAATATCAGAGTCATCAGCAGTTGCTTCCTTTTTCATCTGAGTGTCTTTCATGACATTATTCCTTAGTATTCAGCCGAAAAGGGGAATCCATTTTGATAGAATGAAGGTGATGATAACAGTAATACTTTGCCTTTCTGTAGTCCCATCCCTCTGGGGGTCTAAAGGTACTTTACAAGCAGAAGATTATAATTAAACTTGTTCTCACTTGGAGAGTTAGGTAAGTGTTACAATCCTTTTAGAGTAGGGGACACTGAGTTAGAGACAGACTGAGTTTGTTTGAGGTCATACATCATCCAGTTATTTGTTTCAGTGTGCTGCAGAGGGAGGAATAGAACCCAAGTTTCCAGGATTCCATATGTATTCTTTCAGTGAAAACACCCTGCTTACTAAACTGCACACTGCCTGATGAGTCATCTGGAACCCATAAAATTCATAAATTAGTGGTGTAACTAAAGGCAAGATGACTTATTGAAGGGATTAATGTATCCCTAGGTGTTGGTTATTTATGTTTGAAAAAATCAGTCACATATCCAAGACAGAAGCTCCTTGTCTCTGATAATTTCTGGTACCATACAGAATGACTTCTGTATCTTTGCAAGCTCAGATGGAGTGCACCATACATTATTCAGCTCTTGTTTCTAATAAAGCAAAAAATGATTAAAGATGAAAGTGGACAGAATGCAGTCTACTAAGAATCCCGTCTATCAAAGTGCTCATGGAAATAGAGGGAATCTTTTGTTTCACCATGAAACAGCCACTACAGTCATGATTAGAAGTTACTTCTTTGCAAGACTTCATGTGAGGAAAGTAAGGGATGTGCATGGTTGTAGGACCATGGCCCCATGTTATAATGTTGGACACTCAGGGATTGGGAAAGGCTAGAAAGAAGGTTAGTGGTATAACTTTTTTTCTGGCCATGCAAAGTAAGTAGTACACAGGCTATGATTATAAGATAACTTAATGACCCTTGCCTTATTCAGTGCACTATCTATCAACAATCGTCATTTTAAGTTCTCACTTACCTTTACTTGGGGGTGATTTCTGGAGAGCCCTCAATCCCTCCATAAATTCACCTAAATTCACTGTCACATCCTCTGCAAGACAGAGCACAGTCAGGGTTATGGGAAATAGCAAACAGGAAGTAAAGAACAGACAGGCAGAGGGGAACTGGGCTCATGAATACAGTTCCTGAGAGTTGCCACCAAAAAGATACACTGTCATGTAAATTTGCTTACAACTTTGTTCTTAAGGCCCAAACGATGGAATCCCTGGCAGGTCCACAGCACTGGCATCAGAAAAGTGAAGGCACAAAATTCAAAGGGCCAGATCCTGCTCTTATTGACATGGATGGGAAACTAGACTGATTCCACTGGATCACGTGTCTTTTTATTGTGTAACTCCTCTACACTTACAGTGTCATGAGTTCAAACAGCAAAGAACCTCTTTTTAAGACCCCTTTACACTGACATGGCTGAGTAAAGTAAATTTATTGAAATGAGAATCAGCAATTCAATCCATTTGTGCCATTACTACAGCTTCACACATTGCACAATCTGGGCCACGGATGTTATTTCAATGGATTGTTTGTCACACCATGTATTGTGCACACATCACACCCTTGTCATCTGACAAAAATCAAAGCTTGGCACAGAGCAGGAGTCTGTTGCTCATTTACACTCCCTCACTCTGTACCGTATGAATAGAGAGGATGGGGAACACTAATCGTCAACTGTCATATGTTTCAGGGCCTCCTGCAGCTCCTCGTTGGTTAGGTAGACCCTCATAAATGAATGGTGTTAAGCCCCTGATTCTAGCGACACAGGTGCATGTACTTAACTTGACCTGTGTCACTTCAATGATACTAAAAAGTAACTAAAAAGAAGCATGTGCATGTCTGCAGGACCAGGGGGTAAGGTGACAAAGTCAGAGTCAGGAGCTAGGAAATGCCAGAATGGAAGTAGCCATATGACCCTAAGTCTATCTTTTTGTGTAGAATCACCATGAGAGAGACCTGAATTAGATTAAATATATGAACACATAGTATTTCTGCCAGAGGACTTCTGGCTTTTATTCAGTGCACTATGATCTACTGTCCACCTCTATTTTTACATTCTCACTCACCTTCACTTAAAGGTAATTTCTGGACAGTTCTTACCCCCTTCGTAAATTCACTCAAATTCCCCTTCCCATCCGCTGCAAAGAAAAGCAGAGCTCAGAGTCAAAGGAAATGACAGAAAGACACTAAGAACAGGGAGGCATTGTGGAACTGGTATCATGACAACAAGAAGAAAATGTCACAGAGGTAACCGAGATCTACCTTCTTCTGAAATGGAAACTTACTCTTGAAAGGGGTCACAAATTTGGGATAAAAAAGTGAAAGAAATGCCATTAAATGGAGCCTGATATTTCTCCCTTTATGTGTGTATGAGTCCGGATTGACTTTACATGACCAGATTATGATTTGCATTAAGGTCACTTTCCATTGCTGTTATGTAATATAGAAATATAATTTCAGCCCATTTAAAGGTCTCTTTATAATA